CTGGCGGCCATTTTGTTTTAAAGAATTCAGTTCTGGATTCGTATCCGAGACATGTCTGGATTGATCAAGTTCAAACTTCACACACACAAGGTACATCATGTCACAAATATGTATGTGCATTTGTTTCATGATCCCATTAACGATAGCCAAATGGCGGCCGCTTTAAGGCCGAAAATGCATTGAAATCGCACATTTTCACCATTCCGAACCCGGATCTCAGTTATGCATGGACGGATTTCATTCAAATTTGGTACTTACATTAAACATAATAGGACCTTGATGCACGTCATTTTTTTTCCGGATCAAGTTCGAAATGGCCGACTGGCGGCCATTTTCTTAAAGAATTCAGTTCTGGATCCGTATCCAAGACATGTCTGGATTGATCAAGTTCAAACTTCACACACACATGGTGCATCATGTCACAAATAGATATGTGCATTTGTTTCATGATCCGCTTAACAATAGCTGAATGATGGCCATTTTAAGACCGAAAATGCATTAAAATCACGTATTTTCACAATTCCGGAACCAGATCTCAGTCATGCATGGATGGATTTTGTTCAGATTTAGTACAATGTGTTGTACATATGCAGGTGCATTTCGGTCATGATCTGCTTTGAATGTATATGTCACTCAAATATGAACGGAACAGGGACATGTCATTGACAATGACTTGTTTACAGTGGAACACTGGTGTGGCGTAATAGGCTTGTCTGAATTTAGTAAATTATTGGATACTGTAATTCGTTTCATTGTTTGCACAGACACTGTTAACAATGAACGTACACGTGAAAGACGTCGGATTACATGTTGATAATAGCTTTATTGAAAGTGTTGCTCCAGGAAATCACACAAGACGACTGTAGTATTTATTGTTCACAGTTGACTTTTGTATTATACGGAACACAGCCAGACATACTTACAAATTTTGGGGGACACACAGTAGGTACGGATAACCGAACATTTCGGATAATCAACGTTCTACTGTATAAGAACATATATAATTCAATTGGGGAGCACTGGAAGGTAGAGTTAGGATAAGGGTTGGGGTACAAAAATAACTCTTTCTTGGTTGCACTTATATTCTATCAGAAGCACATCTACAAAAGCAAAAAAAAAAATATATCTGTCTTTACTGGCCCATTGTTATCATCTTTGACATCGTTCACCACACATTAGCATAAATAAACAAAAAAAGTAAGGATTTTCTGCTATACAATTAAAATCAATAATCTAGATTAAAACAATTTATAATTTTTTTTGCAGCCAACAATATGTCGAAATCCAGTTTGTGCCAACAGAAGTCGATTTATGCTTGATGTAAACAAGTCGCGATTTGTAGATTTCCAGAAAGTTCGAATACAAGAAACGCAGGCTGAATTACCCAGAGGCAGTATACCAAGAAGGTATAGTAATAAACATGCAAGGTCTTTGCAAACCGCTGTTCCGGGCTGTAAAATGGAGATATGTCGATTGAATTTCAGTATGCAGATCACACTCCGTGATAATTTATTCAAATTGCATTGTGAAATTACTGTTTTTGTCACAGTACTGTAGAATACTTTAGTTTCGCTGAGGGGATGATTCCGTGAAAATAAAATCCAGCGAATATACTTTTTTTTCTATATTTCACATTAATCTCATCAAAAATCAGTGAAACTAAATTCCAAGCAAAACGCCCAAAAAGCCTTTTCAGCGAAAATTAATTCCAGCGAAAATAAAGTATTCCACAGTATTTGATTTTTTTTCAGTCTTGTACAATCATGAATATATGTTGCGTACAATTTTGAATGTGATGTATGACGTAAGAAATAGATTTATTTCAGCTTATGAAACGTGGCATGAATTGCATTATCTAAATTTTCTCAGTCCTATTCGGATGAAGTTCGAAAATGGAGACTTGTAATTCGGTCTCCGTGCATCCGTTCGTCCTGAGTCATATTTCAGAATTCTTTGGCCTGATTCTGTTCATTCTTTGCATGTGTCTAGTACTTTATGTGGGACATAGAGAACTTAATGGGGACTGTCATTTTCAGTGACTTGTTTTTTTTGAACAATTTTTTTTATGAATTAATGCATGAAACTGTAAACAAATGCCAAACAAATGCGCTTGATACAGAAAATGATTTCCACATCCTCTGTCACTGTGACATAATCGGATGACTGTCATGTCAACATTCTCTACATGTTTATGAAACTACTAGAAAGCATCACAGTGGTTCGTAGATTCATATTGTTTTACTTTTATTCAGCGTGGAGGTAGTTCTGAGAGCTGAAGCAGTTGAGATCCCTCAAGCTGGTGATAAATGTGACTTTACTGGTACACTTATTGTAGTGCCTGATGTATCACAACTGAGCATGCCAGGTAAGCCACTGAGATCCCCTAGGCTGGTGATAAATGTGACTAGTATGCTCAAAATATTAGTTATGCTCCAAGAAGCGACATAAGATCTTTATAGCAGTATCCAGACATGTTTACATTTGCAATTTATGTCATTATCACCTGATTAACGTATCAGCTAATTATTTGTGCAGGTGCCCGTGCTGAGACGTCCTCTAAAGTGCATGGTAGTGAAAACAATGAAATGGAAGGCTTACGTGGATTGAAAGCGCTTGGTGTGAGGGATTTGAATTATAGACTGGCATATCTAGCATGTAACGTCAGTGCAACAAACCCAAGAGTAAGTCATATTAAAATGCGTTTTTAACCAGTGCATTTTGATTTTTCTCGTTAACACGCAAAAAAAGTAGAAGTTACTGTTGTGTTCCCTGGATGGTCCTTACTTGCGTTATTGTATGGTGCTCATTCAACTGCGCATGAATGTAAAGTAAATTACGTAGCTCACTGTTAGTAATTACAAATTTATCGTCAAAAAGCGGCTTTGAATATGATCGAGCCCTGGTTTAATTTTTAGCTCCGCTGTCGACTTTGTCGAGCGGAGCTTATCATATGAGTGATTGTCCGTCGTCCGTGTCAATGTTTTACTTTTTCGACTTCTTCTTGAAAACTACAAGCCTGAATGCTTTGATACTTGGTGTATTTGTACCTTGGGTAGACCTCTCTTAGATTTTTTCATTTCATGTTGATATCTTCAATTTTCTAATTTTGGTGAATATTTTTGTCATTTTTGGTAAAAAGTGATATTTTCGACTTCTTGTTAAAAACCCAGAGTGCAATTGCTTTGATATTACATATATAGGTACTACATGTGGACCTCTCTCAGATTTGTTCATTTTGTAATGATATCTTTAATTCTCTAATTTTGGTGAATATTTTTGTCTTTTTTGGTAAAAAGTGATATTTTCGACTTCTTGTTAAAAACCGCAAGTCCAATTGCTTTGATACTACATATATAGGTACTACATGTGGACCTCTCTCAGATTTGTTCATTTCGTGATGATATCTTCAATTCTCTAATTTTGGTGA